AAAAAAAACCACTTAATGAGGAGAGAAGAAGGTTTATGGAGATCACTTTTCAAGATATAGAGGTAATATTTTTTCGATTTATATGTATAAATTTTACTTTTACGAATTTTAATAGATTAATTTATAGTGTACATAAAATATTTTTTGTAGGGTGCATTAATAACTGGATTGGTGCGCAATCCGGATTTGAGCTTATTTCGAGATGTCATTAAAGAAGGCAACGTGTACGTCATCGACAAATATCTTCTTCAACCCAACAATGGTTGGTACATGACAACCCCCCACAATTGGAAGCTTGTGATTAATAGTAGGACACGCGTGGTGAAATACGAAGGAAGTTTCCCATGAACGTCTATATTTATTGAATAATATTTGAAGAAGAATAAGTTTTATCATAGTTTTCTTATTAGTATGTGGTAATAAATTTTATTCCATTTCGTTTAAAATAAAATGGAAACCGATTTGTCTATTCCATATCGTTCAAACTTTTGTTATCAAGTTTCATTTTCATCCAATGTATATGAATTTATTATATTTAATTTGTTGTGTATTTATTATTAGAATTCATATGTTCATAATGATTCTTTGTATTTTAATTTGTTCTATATAAAAAATTAACAACTAAAACATAATTAGAATCGTAATATTGAATATAAAATTAACAACTAAAACATAAGCTTTGGAAAGACAAAAATCGAATTGTTTCTTAATTTAAAAAAAAAAAAAACTAATTAACATTTTATTTAAACAATTCCACTTAATGTGGATTCTTAACAAATACGATTTCTTATTAATTATTTAAAAAATTTAATGCAAAATTAAATTACACAATTTTACTTAATGTGGGTTAGTTAACAAACTTATCCCAATTCCACTTCATTTGTGATATTATACGATTTGAAAGAATCTTATGTTGAATAAATTCAAATTTATATTCCTTAATTAGAAAATTTGATGCAAAAATAAATTATACAATTTAACGTTAAATGGATTCTTATAAAATAATCTTCCAATTCCAATCCCTTTGTTTTAGGAAACGATTTGGAAGAATATTATGTTGAAAAATTCAATTTTATATTCCTTAATTAAAAAATTTGATGAAAAATTAAATTATACAAATTAACGTTAAATGGATTCTTTAAAAATCTTCTTCCAATTCCAATCCCTTTGTTTTAGGAAACGATTTGGAAGAATATTATGTTGAAAAATTCAATTTTATATTCCTTAATTAAAAAATTTGATGCAAAATTAAATTATACAATTTAACGTTAAATGGATTCTTTAAAAATCTTCTTCCAAATTCCAAACCCTTTGTTTTAAGAAACGATTTGGAAGAATATTATGTTGATAATTTCAGTTTTTAACTATTCCATAAAAAATATCGGATTTTTTTTCCTTTTCTTAAAAGTATGCTCTATACATATCCGATTTCTAAGAATATGCTCTATACATACCCGATCTGTTACCTTTTATTTAGGATGAGATGAGATTGGTTCCCTTTTTATTGTTACAATTACAATATGCGATAGGCTTATTTAGGAAAATATTTTTTTTCCTATATATATTATTTAAAATTCCATATTGATAGAAACAAAATCAAAAAATCTGGATTCTCTTTTGGCCCATCCGATATTATGGTGTATTGTTATAATCAATTGCATTAGTTCTATTCCTTTTCCAACAAGTTACGTGTTGGTTCTATATTGTGCTTGCACTCATTATATAAACCATCCTTCCCCTCAATCAAAGATTTATAGAACCATCATTGTTTCCATAAAACATATTCCGAATATTTTTTTCATTTACTTTTCCCAAACTTTTCAAAATGCCTCCTGCTTTTGGTGTTATTAAGGATCTCAAAAGGACTAATAGGCCATTCATTAAGTTGCGGGTGATTAGAATTTTTCAACGCGAAGAGGAAAAAGGTTACAAACAACCCCTGGAGATTATCATGCATGATTCCGAGGTACT